GATTTCAAAATAACGGCCCAATGCTAAGGTGTTTACAGCGGCCTTTTATTTGAAGAGGGCTTTTAATCGAAGTGGTCTTTTATTTCTGGAACATTGTCGAAAATTCGATGGGGGCTTGTAATAGTAGAAGGTTTTCTATTCGTAAAAATCCGTTACATTAATATTAATAATATCTGTTCTGCCAAGTTGAATACCAACTATGCATATATTCGATTGACCAGCCCATGTGTCTCACGGGCCTCTCCTCTTGCACTATTTAGATGTTCTCCTCGGGAGGTCATACAGTATTCTGTACTTGGACACCATCATGAGGAGGCATGAACACGGAGCTCATTTTTTGGAGCCTTTTTAACACTTTACAGGAGACTTCGGGTCCGTGCTGTGATACAGCAAACCGTTAGACAAGGATAGCAGTGCAACACTTCGATAAAGCGACATCCCAGCTCATATGCCCCTCCTTAAGGCTTTCCCCTCCTTAAGGCTTTCATACAGTACACCACGTGTTGCGTCTGACCCTGACACCGTAATATCGTCTTGTCCATGTGCAGCATTACTTACGCTACATGAAATAATCTGGGCGAAGCGAAAGCGCATCCGACTTCACACCAAGCCGACCAGGCTTGCCGTAACGGGGTACGTACTGTATCATAGTATAATTTGGTTTAAAGCTTGTAAGTACCAATGCTGGGGGGTCATCAGATGGGTATTGTGACTTGTAAACTTTAGCTTTTAGCTCATAAAACGAGTACAAATCTTCAGATGGCTACAAATCCTGTTTGTTACGGCAATAATTCTCTTAAACAATTTGATGAGAGTGGATAATTATCTCCTAAAAAAAGTATATGGTCATCTGTGTACCAATTAAGGGTTATACCCACGATTTTGTCCAATAAGCCAGACGTCGCGTTGTATGGAATTCAGATGCTAAATTCAAGCCGTAGTGCATACTCGAATGTGGCCACCCAGTGCTGCGTCCAGCGACCGTCTTGAAACCCGCGAACGTATGGCACAGCTACAACTCAAGGCAACATCCAGGAACGTAATTGCTGCTGGTCGCGTTGCGCGGAGCTCGTACTGCGATCACTCTGGATGGGGCTACAAGCAGGGCAGCATAATAAAGAGCTGGAAGCGTCGCTTTTTTGTGCTTAAGGGGCGAGAACTTATCTACTTTGAAGAACGTTCACCCAGCGGTAAGGGAATCGATGAAAAAGGGCGATTGCGGATCAGCGGCGTCGAGTATACGCCCGAGTTTACGAACGCGTTGCTCGTACGGGGAGAATTGAAGAACCAGGCAGTAAAGATGCAGGTGGAGTCGAACGAGGAGATTGACGAGTGGTTTGTCAAGATCTCCGAGGCGCTTCATGCTGCTACAGAGGCATTAGCAGCGAATCAACGCAAAACAACTGGTAGTGGTGATGTGGCTATGAAAGGCTGGCTTATGAAGGAGGGACAGAATTTTAAGACATGGAAACGACGCTACATGACGTTAACGGGCAATATCATTCAGTACAGAGCACAAATATCGGAAAGACCGCTTGGTGAGACGAAAGTGAACGCGGTGAACATCAATCCATCAAGACCGTTTGCATTGGATATTTACTCGGATAATAATCGAATCTTACGGATTGCAGCCGATTCGTTTGCTGAGATTGAGGCGTGGGATCACGCATTTGCTAAGGCTATTGGGAAACGGCCGTGCTTTGGAGATCCGTATGCAGGACAGAATGCGCCATTTCTTGGCGAGACGTTTGAAGAGAGTGTGTTGTGTGAAGGTTGGCTGTACAAGAGAGGACAGCGGTCGACAGAGTGGCAAAGACGCTATTTTATTCTAAAAGGTTACCAATTACAATACCAGGATGGACCTGGAGAAAGCATACATAAGGGTGCAGGCACGGTGGTTGGGTTGACGCTTGGCGAAGCCTGTTCGAACAGTATTTTCGTGCAACTTAGCTCAAGTCGAGTGCTTTGTGTGAGCGCAGACAGTCAGATTTCGATTGATAAATGGATTCAAACTATTTGCACTCTGCTAGGTAAAGACCCGAACTCTTTAGAAAAGGAAGCATCAGTCGCGTCAAACACAGCCATTAAGTGTACGAGTGGTGGCAACATACTTACTCGTGCATTCAGTCGAGCTTTATCGAATGCTTCCGCGCCACCAATGTTAGGTACCAGCACTTCCCAGTCAGAGCTGGAAGTTGCTCAATCTAGTCTTTCTAGCAATGGAGGCTACTTGGAAGAATGTGATGACGGAAGGGAGACAGACGATAATTTGCATTTACGCGAATCCGTAGCGAGCGAGCGGAACTCACTTGAAGAAGGCAACAAGTCTACGGGAGACGACTACGAGAGTTTTATGAGTGGATCCGTGCGAAAGTGCGGCTGGTTACGCAAAGAAGGCGCGCGAAATCGCTCTTTGAAGCGCCGGTACTTCATGGCCGATGACAACAAGCTTTACTATTTTGAACAAATAGGTGAGGCCCCGCGTGGCAATGGCATTGTAAAAAGTATTGTGCCCAATGATACGTATCCAAACTGTTTGGATTTAATTCTGAAATCGGGGCGAACGCTGCGTGTTGTAGCTGAATCACCAGACGAAATACGTTCCTGGCTTGATCACTTTAATGAATGCATTCCAAGGAGCGACGGTCCGACAGATCGACGCAGTGTGATGGACATACATTCATTGGTCGAAGATCCGGCATTAAAAGTGATGGAAACAGGTTCTGGCTGGTTGCTGAAAAAGGGAAAGAATTTTAGGACCTGGAAACGCCGATTTTTTAAACTGAATGGAAAGCAATTTTCGTACGCCAGTGCACCAACTGCGCCACCTCTTGGATGTGGTGTGGTCGAAAATGTCATGATCGGGAACGCACGACCATTCTGCTTAGACGTTCGGTTTCAGAACGGCCGTGTCATGCAACTTGTGGCGTCTAACGAGACCGAAATGGTTGCTTGGAATCGTCTGTTGCAAGCAGCTGTGCTTTCCGAGCCGATTGAAAGCGACTTAGAGCAAGACGCACAGTTTGATTTTGATGACGCTGAAGAGGATGCACAGCTTGGTACAATGCACAGCGTCGTAACAGCGACTAGAGCGTTTAAACGTGGGATAACAAAGGCGTCTTCGTCATTGAGCACAGTGTCAAGCTGCGATAGTTTAATTCAAGAGGAGAAACCCACCATCATGAGCGCTCAAGATTCGGTGACGAAGACGAATGAGCGAGCAGAGGCAGCAGCTAAGGCAGTGGCTGCAGCTATGGAACGCCAGTCCGCTCGTCTAGTAGCAATGGAGGCAGAGGAACCAGTTGTGTGTAGTGGATGGTTGCGAAAAGAAGGAGGGACAGTCAAAAATTGGAAACGCCGGTACTTTACACTGCATGGGGCAACTTTATGCTACTTTAAGAGCGACAATGGAGCCCTTTTGCGCAGTTTTACCGTATGTCACGTCGTAACCTTGCGGACGAAAAGATTGTGTCTTGAGATCACGACAGAGGTTGGACGCAAGTTACTGGTCGCGAGTGAAACGCAGGCTGATCTGGACCGATGGCTGGATCACCTGCATCGTGCTATCGCGGCGGAAAAGCAAAAAAAACAGAACACTGACTCTTCACAATGGACAAACGAATTACGTTGTTGGGAAGCTACTGGCTTAAGTAGAAGAAGCGCCTGACCTAAAGCGTGTAATAGAATCCTTGTTTAAAGTTGTTTCAGGATAAACAGGTGCATTGTTGAAGTGTTTGACACCGATTTTTAGCAGTAAGGTTCATACATATCATGTACGTGATGCAACGTTTCCGCAGGTTGTCCGCATCCGCGCCTTGTACGCAAGAGATGTCCAATCTGCACGAAATGTTAGCCAGTACGTGCTGAAGATTCCACTAGAAATTAATGCAACGTAAAGCCCGAGCCAAAGTCCAAGCAAACCCAGATCAAGTGTAAACGCCAAGAACAGACCCAGAGGCACAGCCAACAAAATGTAGCAGACAAAGTTAACTTTTGCACCTAGTGCTTGCAAACCACATCCACGGAAAATACCCTGAGAGACGGCAGAAAGTGCCGCAAAGACTTGGAGCGGACTGGTCAGAAGTAACAACTTTGACGTAAGGGATACGACTCGCTCGTCGCTTGTAAATGCAAACGGTAGCACGCTGTGGAGCACCAACATAGCCACTGACGTTACGAAAGCACAGACTGTGCTCAAGCCTAGTGCCAATTTTGCTGAGTACCAAGCACGTGCGGGATCGTTTGCTCCTAGCGCATTTCCAACTCTCACTGAGCCTGCGAGTGAAATGGCGACGTACCAGAGTGCACCGAGCCATCGTAGGTTGCCATAGCTTGAGTCGGCACTCACCACGGCGGCTGCATGCGGTAGCAAACCAGAGGCAAAACCTACAGAAGCAAAGCCCCATACCTCACACACAAACATGGCCATGCCTGAACCACCCAGGCGCAGGAACTCAGGAAGAAACCGAACGGCCTTAATGAATTGCCAGCCTGGCCACTCACGTCGAAATATACCGCTGCAGTACATGTACATTGATAAAATCACGGCGTAGCAAACCACAGTTGCTGAAATGGCCACAGCTGAACCAGTAATCCCGAGTGGGGTCTGAAACATGAAGATGTATAGTAGTGTAGCTTGCAAAATACTCGCAACAAGACCAATAGCCACAAGTGGCTCGACGCGATTTTGTCCTTGTAAGATCTTACTCATCAGCACATTTATAGCCGTAAAAGGTACACCAGGAAGAGCCAATATAACTAAGCTTTGCACGAGCCGAGCTAGATCTTGCTGTTGGCCTGCAAACTCGAGAAGCTCGACGCAGTTGAAACCGGCAAAGGCTACAAGTGGGAAGCCGATGCAAAAGACAAGCAATCCTGTTTGAAAAAATAACCCCAGCTCTTGTAGTTGACCAGCACCGTAGGCCTGAGCACAGAGTGTGTCCATTGCAGTGCTCATGGCCGCGATCAGCGTCGTGCTTGTAACCATATTAAAAGTGAGAGCCAGACTCCGTGCCGCCATGAATTCGCTGCTGTACGCTGCATTGAGATGACCAGTAAGTACGCTGCTTAAGAAATTTGGAGCAAATTCTACAATGGCGAATAGCAACATCTGAAAGGATAGACGGAGCAATGCTTGGCCTTCGCGGTTGTGATGGACGAACAAAGGTTGGAACAATCTCGTCAGGGCTGATTTCTCGACTCCTACAAGATCACTGGGTGCAATTGCTGCGTCAAAGAGTAATAATGGGGTACACTCAGTCGTTATAGACTTGAACGCTTCTGGTTCGTAGACTTGGGCAATTTTCCTAAACAAGCCATCCCACATCACTTTTATTGACATACCGGTCATGGATAGACATGCAGATGGAGCTGCTGGTCGCCTGTCATTAAAAGGAACTTCGTGCATTGTGATGATTTTTCTGCTTTAATTTGTATGCGGAAAAGATTCGCTATACGGTTTTGTACAGCTTTTAAAGATCGTTGTATCACTGTTTCGAAATTGAGTATTAGTTTTGAGAAGGATGTAAAACCAAATAACAATACTTATCGTATTGATGTGCAAAATTTAAAGCACATTCGCCTTTGACACTATTGAGCTTAAGTGCAAATGTAGTTGTCAGAAATGTCATTGCTGATGGCCATTTCTTTGCGAATTTAACGCTACTTTCGCTCTCATCAAATGGCTTGTAATATAAAGTGGTTTATCATCTCAGAGTAGCAAATTTGGATTTGAGCTTTCCAATTATTCTTGCTACCTTTTATCGTTTTTATGAGACGAAACATAGGCGACGTGAAACATAAGTGCACGGTGTATGGCAAAGCAAATGTATCATCTAGCTAAATGCTAGCTTTCACGCGATGTGAAAGTGAGCGAGCTGGAAGAGGTTTTTGCTGGCATGTTGAGCACTCAGTTTTGCCGAGTATCTTGACGCTGTACTTAATGGTGCTTGACTTATGCACGTTGAACGTCTTCTGAGGCGAGAATCGACACTCAGTGCAAGAAAGCGCATCCATCGTGGACGTCTACGAACAAGGCGGATTTTGAGCTCGAAAAAAAGATTTTTTACGTCTTGATAAAAATTATACTGCGAATACAAATCAAGAATGTCAAGAAAATCGGCGCGAGGAAGTGGCAATGGCAACTGAGATTACTCTCCAAGAATAAAACAAAAAGGGATCCTGACGACAAAGACTCGCGTTGTGACAAGACTTGGACTGTTTGGGTGCAGTGGATGGGATGGACGAGGAGGCATTGCATGCTTGTTTAAGAGTTGCTAGTGCTCCTGTTTCAATAGAAGAATATGCTGTTAGGTCTGGCATTGCACTGCGAGCCTGATTTCAAGGATGGTCGTTGCGGTCAATGCCAATATCTCCGATTCCATTATCGGCTTTTTTTACCAATCATCCATTTCCAAATGGAAAGCCATCGTCTAGGAAGTGAATGCAGCTCCAGTCTCATTCGTGTGGAGAGTTGCTTGAAAGCTGCCCGTCTAGTGCTGGGAAATTCAACACAGTGGTAATTCACAACGAGGCAGGAACAAGCTTCATCAGAGTTTTGTGCCGTATCTGATAATGAGGGCGATTTAAAAGCTTAAAGATATTTGCGTTGCTCTCTTATAAAAAAACAATTAAACAGCGAGTTTGGGTTATGCTACACATCATTCAAGGCTACAATACCCTCCCTATAAACAGCAATGACGTACGGAAGATAGTGTAGTAATACTACCACCAATGTTGGTCTTGGTGAAGCATGTTTTTCCTTGCGCATTTTTAATGAGCACAAGAATCTCGGCCTTTTCGTATAAATGACTTAGCCAAACTGTCGACAAGCTTTGTAATGTTAACGGAACATACTCCGACTTGAAGATGTGTATTGCTTGCTGCGTATAACTTCTTCAAAAACAGTATCAATCGTTATTTTGTTGACCGAATATATAAATCGGTCATACACTGAAGACTGATGGACGGCTTCAACAAATGTAGTGTTAGTAATTGATCAATTGATATACCAATTTTGAAGCAGAACAGCTCTTTCGAAAACTAGAGAGTTATCAGGAGGATCACAATACGAAATATGCTTTGCCTAAGTAGCCGAAAATAGAAAGAGGTCACATATTCCTCACATCAGATTGTTTACACGCTGATAAATCTCGAAAAGTCGAACGCAATTGCAAACCTATCATTTAAGTGCTTCCTCGAATGTTTCTTGCTCACTGAGGAGTCGTAATCCTCACAAACTAATCTTACACTCAGATCAACACCGTGAGCTCGTTAATGCTGCATAAAAACAGACCACCGTCAAATCGTCTGCGATGCGTCAAAAGTAATATAGCGCATTTACTACGGCGTATGTATGTCATGCACAATGCTGACACGATAGCATTTGGACTCAACAGTTGATGAAGAGAATGGAGACATGTAATTCCACAACATCGAGTCAATTTGTGTGTGAAGAGCGATATTGACAGACATGTAGAGTCGAGCGAAGGATGACTTTGCTAGAATTCATTTTTACTTGTACTGTTTTACTCTCCTTAGCGTCTACCAGAAACTTATTTAAAAGTAAAACGAGTCAATTCGTGCTCGATGCACAGTGACCGCAATTTGTACTGCGAGCGTTTCTGCATTCCGTGGAGCCTCTTTGTGATATAACTAACGAAATCGGTTATAAATCTGCATGTGCAGAATTTATCTACTGCAGCTGGTTAGTTACATTCGTATGAACGCCACATTCTCACGGCATTGTATGGTATCCCATCTTTGTTTCTTGACAACAACATCGTCATAGCCACTCAACAGCAAAGCGACAATTTGCGCGTAGCAGGAGTATCTTAGAATATAACTGACGTCTAATAACTGAGAAATTTAGGACACGCTGTTACCCACCAACTTCTTAAGATATCGATACTATTTGTGAGGTGCGAAAGTCGCCAACCGACTACTTGTGCAGTCTAATCTGGTCGTCGGTATTACTGCGGAAACGGCAGTTTTGTGCTGTGAGATCCACAACGAGTGATTGTTTCCATTAAGATTCGCTGTAGCTGTACTGATGTGTAGCTTTCAAAAGTTCCGTAAATGACAACTTATCTTTTTTGACACTTCCAAAGTTAGTAGCCATATAATTACACAATCTAATTTGGTATATGGAGCGCGCGACTCGCAATGCCTTTGGGATCAACGCAGTTGCTTCGCTAATCGCACAAGACTCGACCGACATACGCACTAAGACTGGCACCATTATTAAAAGTGATTGAAAACAAGAAAGATTAAACATACAGTTTGAGGTGGGCAACAAGCGAGAAACGTAACAGTTATTTCAAGCATAACATTTGCTAGAAAGGCCTGCAAATTTGCAGGAATATACCGCGGCATTCGAAGAAGCGTAGGAACTTTCCTACAACTTTTTACATTATAAAAACGTAATGGTACGATTTATGTTTACAGCTGCATCTCTTACGTCCAGCCTTTCTTATGACGTTAGTAATCCATTACCATAATTCAAATAGTAGCTTACACAATTACTGCTATAAAATATTTATTGCTAGCTCCATGTTCTTTTATTTCTGGAGTTTTACACCAACGTTTTTGTAAAGCTGTCTACTAAATTCCCCTCACTTCAGCGGCTTTACATCCAGCCTACAAGCGTTATTACGACATATTGTCAGCGTGTGCTTTGAAATCGGTGTGAATACTGAAATCACACCGATTGTGGCAAAGAGCTTTCGAAAATATCTGCTGCGTTTGGTTTTGTTCCCGTTAAATCCAATTATCGGCTGTCATATTTGGTGCTCTCTACTTTGAGGAAGCAACTGTTGAAATAGAAATTTTAAGTCAAGTTTTATCAATCTTTATACTGTAGTCCTGCCACTAGATCTGCTCCGTTCTATGAGTTAACTGCAGCATGAGCAATTCTAAGAGTCAGCCTCGAGAATTCCAGAATGTACGACGTTTATATTCTGCTGTTTATCCAAGGCTACATTGTGCCTCTTCTGACTTTTCTCAGCAATTAGGCGTCGCAGCGATTGTGTTACTGGGAGAATTTGATAGATTTAAAGGGGATATTTACTGAAAAAAATGTAGCATCTTGTTAAACATAAATCGTCTTACAGCCTTGTTCGGATTTAAGCACGTTCGAATAATCACGGTAACTGCATATTCTATAGTCGCGGTTATAAAAATTGGCAAAGTCTCAACACAAATTTAGGACAAACAAATAGGAGTAAGCATCTTTTTCTAACAGAAAAGCTGTAAGTAGTAAAAGTCAAATATCATGAATTGTTTACAAAGTCGACAATAAAAGAAATAAATCAGCTCGAGAATAAGAAACCTGGTTTTAAAAAGTGACTTGGATGACTAATTTTAGCAAACTTAAGCAAATTTGTTTACGGTCGATGGGGTACGTAGATAACCATGGCAATTCTCCTTGTGTACCCTTGAGTATTTGTCTCGCGTATAGTAAACAATTTAAAGAAAATAACGTTCTGATTTTGTACGTCTGCACTCTCCCATGTAAATACAGTACCGATACAGTGTATGTGCTAATAATGTAGTACAGTGATTCAAGAGCGAGTCAAATTGTCAAACGGTCTGGTTTTGTACGTCTGCGCCCTTGTGTACGCTCCTTGCTTTGTCCCGTATTCTTCCGATCAGTTTATTGATTACAACCTTCAGTTCCTAATGACGTTGGAAGGCGCTGCGGGTACAACTAGTGATCGTACAAGCGGTTCCACCAGCGTACAGGTTCCCACTAACCACGCAAGAGAAAACCACTACCATCTTCGTACAAAGTCTACACTTTCTGACCCTAAAGTAATTAGTAATGCTAGCGACACGACCGCAGCTGTGGACGACTCACGCCGTGTGACTTCGGACATGATTTCGTTCAAAGCGACTGTCGTACCAAGTTCAAACGACGTATGGACTTCGAAACCTCGCAACGTATCTTCACCTAAACGACGTTATTGGCGCTTAGTACATCGTAAGAAAGTAAACGATCAAGAGGACAACGAGAAGTTGACACTGTTGCGCCAGTCGCACCCATTTCACGAGATGAAAATCGAATCCACTGTTGAAAGTATGAATAGTGATTTGTCAAAAAATGGGTACATGTACTCACGTGGAAGTGTCGAAAGTGATCTTTCATTACTTGATACTAAAGACCGACAGAGTTATAGCACTCGTCGGGGCAGCAGAGTGCGTGCATGGAAAGCACTGAGCGTCACACACGAAGCTGATGGAGATGCTACAGCCATCGCAACGCTCGTGAACACGACACCGATGACAGTCTGGAGTACATTTTTGCAAACTGTTCATAGTTTTGCAAACAACGTGGCAGTCTCTGGACGTGAAAATGGGTCCGCACTAACAAATGGGACGTACACATGGCTACAACATGCTGAGCGAGTACGATGTGTAATCCGAGCGTTGGTACAACTCGGATTTTGTGCAGGAGAAGGTGTCGTTGTCTGTGCGTCCACAAGCCCACTCGTACAAACGATTAACCTCGCAGTTATAGCTTTAGGTGGTGTTATCGCTCACGTTCGTAGCTCATGGAGTACTTGTGAGCTTCAAGACTATATCTTACCAATTGCCAAAGCCACCATTGTTGTAGTCGACGTCTTGAATGATTCTTTTCGAGAAATTGTGGAAACACTGGACAAACAGTCTCAAGCCTTGCACTTCAATCTCCGAGCTGTTATTATACTTGGAGATGCTACCGCGGTAGACGTTGCTGCTGCAAATGTACAGACAAATCTAAACGTCCTAAAAGCACAAGATCTACTTGCGTACAGCTCTCTCACAACCGATGAGGCTGCACTGACACCGTCAATCGAGTCACTGATGACTAGTGTACGACCCAGTCAGTGCTGTTTGTTAGCATTTGACTATGACGCACTCGGTCGCATACGAGCTGCTGAATTATCGCATGACAATGTTTTATTCACAGCTGCTGCATTGGTACGAAGCTTTGGTCTCAATCATCGCGATCGATTAGTCGGTTACTTGCCATTGTACCATGTAGCGTCCCAAGTGCTTGAATTGTACGTACCATTAATTGCTGGACTGTCCGTCGTGTGTGCACCAACGTACAATCAGCCACTTGTTTGTGCGGTCATGGAACACAAACCGACAGTATTTTTTGCTACACCTGCAACGTGGGCACGCTTTAGTCAGCAAGTGTACCGTGCCAAAAGCGGTGTAAATGCAGCCATCTACCGCTGGGCCAAGATTCGTGCTACAAAACACTCCCAAAAACTATTGTTTGCACGAAGTCGAGGTTCTCGACACCGCAGTCTAGGCTACATGCTTGCGAAAGCTTTAGTATTGAACAATATTAAGAAAAAAATTGGGCTTGAGAGCTGTACTGCGTGCTACTCGATGCTGGCACCACTTGATTTCGAGCTTGAACGATTGTTCAAGACAGTGGATACGCCCATCTATCAGCTTTTTGGCACAGCTGAAAATTGTGGCTTTGCAGCTATAAATTTTCCTCATTCGTGGGAATTTGGGACATCAGGTCGTGCATTGCCGGGTACAACCATTCGGTGTGATGAACGCTCGCAAGAGACGGTTTTACGCGGCCGAAATGTCTTCTTAGGTTATCGCAATCCACGGTCTTCTTCTGAGCTTCTAAGCCACAAAGACAATGACGTCTATACGTTTCGAACCATTTCTGATGGTTGGCTTCGGATGCGTCAACGTGCTTTTTTAACTCCGACTGGTTTTCTTCGCCTAAATGACCCAAACGACTTTTTAGTGCTTTCCACAGGGGACTGGGTCCCTATTCACCCGTTTGAGTTTGCAATGCTAGAGTTGATGCCAGAACTCGAACGTGCAGTTTTGATAGGCGATGGCCGTACGTTTCTTAGTGCATTATTCTTTCTTAAAACATGTGGCGGAGCTTCTCGCTCGGGTACTGGATACAATAAACAAGGAGGTGGGCGACAGCTTGATGACGATGCACTACGAGTAGGCTATACAATTGGAAGCACGGCCATAACAGTGAGCGAAGCCATTCGTTGTCAACAATGGGCTGTGCATTTTGACGCGGTATTAGAGGAACTTCCATTGGTTTGCAATGTCTCTGGCTACCGTGTACGAAAGTGGATTCTAATGGCGGCTGACTTTTCCGTCGAGTCGGGTGAATTGGATCCCGACACAGGGGATGTCTGCCGTCGTGCAGTGGACCGAAAGTACCACGCTTTGTTTGAATCACTTTACAGTTAAAAATTGTAGTATAGTCAGGAAAAGTGAAGGATTATAGAAGAAAGAACTTCAACTTTGACTTGTCCCTTCAAGTTCAAGATATCTACCGCGACAGGCACAGTCGTGCGTGCGTTTTGCCATCCTTATCGTACAGAAAAGCTCAGGAAGTTCGGCTTCAGTGCACGTTCTTTCATCAAACTAGTGGATATGAGACCACATTATGATGGATGGTAGGAAACGAGCATCCGACAGCTGGCGGCCTCAAGCACCCAGGTGATTAGCACCCACGATCATGGAGCCACACATTTGCCGACATCAAGTATCTTAATTAATTTCATGGTCACTCCATTTGACTCATTTTCAAAAGCGACAAGTAGCGCATACTTTTGAATCATGCAAGGGAGTCGACAATCATCTTTAGCATTTTTAAGTCCACGGTCCGCAACATCATTGTGGACATCGCATTTGGTTGCTACATTGTGGAAGCTCGCGATCATGCGGTCTCGCAAAGTGCGCAGCCAATCCAAAGCTTCTACAAACCATCCCGATATTATATATGGCAGTCCAACAACAAAAGGAACAATTGTGGTCAGCGAATCCTCGAATATGCACAAAGCGACTCGTAAGGAGCTTGCATCCGGGATTGTCTCACTAGCTGATCTTGAGGCAATTACGGGCTTTCGACTTGTCAAGAACGACTTACGCTTACCTTTGGACGACGATGCGTGTTCCGACGCACCCACTGCCACGTCTGATAACTGCAGCGATGGAGGCGAGAATCTAATGGAGGATGATAAGCACGTAGCAAGCTCAATCAATAAGTCAAGTGCCCATTCGCCACTTAACCGACACTTTTGTGGTAAATCAGCAAAATGGGTCTGCGTCGGATATGGTCGCTATGTTAAGATAAGCACAAAGGTGTGAGCATGTTGTACATATTTAACTTATAAATGACTAGTTTCTAAAAGCAGTCCACAGTTTGTTGCTCGTAAATGTTATGGCGTTAAGTATTGTACAATTGTGAAAAACACCTTGCGAATGTGCGAATTTCACAATACACTCAAGTATCGATATTTAAATAATGATAATCGCATTTTTCTCCCTCACCCGGCGCCTCTTTCTTGTGTATTGTAAAGGTTGGTGGTGCACATGGGTCGTCGGCTGAACGTAAAGCCAGTGTCATTATGCGAAAGGGTAAAATTAATATCTAGTAATAGTTTTGATAGCATCGATCCTAGACATATGTCACTCTTGAAATAGCAAAGCAAACTAGAATGTTACTTTAGAGACTCAAAGCGTACAAGTCCAACTGTAGTGCGCTTGTGAGCGTGGAATCTCTGAGGTGAAGTTTTCTGTGTGCAAAGCAATTCCACGACAGAATCGTGAGAGGACTGATCGCCTGTGAGGAAATACACGAGATGATCGAGTAAATGTCCTCAGGACAATGCATTTTTGTCATGTATCAGCATTCTAGACATTCTTGAAGGGATGACCAGGATTCTCGCTTTGCTCGAAAGCCAAATGGCTATCATGGTTCAGAGGACTTGCAGCTTAAGGGCACGAAGCTGAAATTGCTTGCCTGGGGGTGCTCAACATCTATGAGAATGCGACCTACAGAAGCACCTCAACTGGGCGTCGGTGGAAACACAGATCAGCTTCACCGTAAAGCCAACGCGATTTTGATGCAGGCACGAGGCAACGATAGCTTCCGTCCGAACTGAGCCTGTCAGCAAAGGATAGCATTGGTATAATTAAAGGCTCTGAGCAAGCTCGGAAGGCAGAGGCGACAGCAAGCCGCGGGTAGATCAAATCTATCTCGTGGTCTCCAGGGTGGGGATGTACATTCCAGCCGTAAGTTGGTGTCTCCGGTGCTATGGCCGTTGGTGATAGAAGCAAGTGGGCGTCGTACTTTCCCTACAAGGTCTGTGTAGTTGAAGGGCGACTGCGAGTCGCGAGTAGAAGGATTAGGGTCTAAAAATATGGAGTGTGGTTCATCTTGTCGCGATGTAATGGTACGTCTGAGTCAGAACTACATTTGATTGGTCGATCGTGTGGAGCAGTGAACCCAAACAAGTAAGTCGCGAGACAGATTATTACCTCAAAAACGGAGCGACCGGGGTAGTCCTAGGGATTGAAAGTCGCCCCTTACTGCCTCTGACATCAGCTGGGGTATATATCACTCGGGGATGTGTCAAGGGTTGCAAGATGACGAAGTTGAAGTATCCATTTGTCAGTCGTTGGAGACACCATCAGAGCCTAAGTGCGAGGAGTGAATCAACTCTCACAAAGTTACTAGAATCTTCTTTAGCCATTATTAAAGTACTGTCATGACGTGGTGACAAGAGACCTAATGTGCGTGTCATCCCCCGAAAGGGGAGTGTGTCAAATAGTTTAGTTTCCGGAACCAAATTTTGCGCATCATGACAATGACGATTACTAAGGGATCATTGGGACGTCATCGACCCTTTCTTTCGTGCAAAATACGAAGCGTGTTTGAATAGCTTAAATATTCGCTGCTGATTTACTGGGTCAGATAATCAGCCACGATCCCGGTGCAAACATCGATTCCTGGAAAAAAAGGACTGCAAATCAGCATGGTCGATTTCACAATGTTCAATTCCTCGACCTGGTTTCCAAATACTGCCAAATGCTCATAGGAGACAACGATGTCCTTTTCACTGCGATGAAAAACTTAAAGAGGGATGCTCCGGGAGTGGCTAATTATGCCAAAGGCTCCATCGTGGCCATGAAGAAACATACTATATTCGTCTCTAAGGGATAGACCACGGGGTGTCGGATGTGGAGAATTGTGTAATTATTATGCGAGCAGCGCTCGAATGTATGCGTATTGATAAGCTGCTTGCGTATGTAAATCAGTTTGTCTTCGGCGCAGACAAGATACTTTTAATGGGTTGCTTCATTGAGAAGTATGGCCTGCATGCATCCCCTGCAAAGATAAAGTCGCCGTAGATTGGCCAGTGCCTCAGTGTCAAAGATTGTTTGATCTGGTCAACTAATTTCGCAAGTACAGTGCAAACTATGCTGAGTTGTCGAAACATAATGGCAAATTCCATGTGCACCTGATTCTAGACTTTTAAAAACTTGATTGGCCATATCATGTCGTCGATGACACATCAGCCTTTGCCATAAGCAGTGCGTTGCTCCAGTAAACACAAATGGATATGGATATTTGAAAGCGGTTTAAGTCTCGCCAGCTTAGACGGCAAACAACAACTACTCTGCTCACGATAAGGAGCTGCTTTAGATGAAGTGTGCCTTTGTCAAATTTAGTGTTCTCCTGCTTGGCTTTGAGTCGTTTGCGATCGATATACATCATTATTTGTTCAGCATATAGACGTCATCACAACTTTTTTCAGAGAAAGGCAAGATAGTAACCTCACCTTACTGAGTGTACTTTAGAGTTAAAGTTAGCCGGGCCGGCTTAATCTTGATGTGGATGCGCTTTTGTGTCGCTTCAACTATGGGTCATTGCTTCTCACAATATTTGTTGATGAGGCGGTAAGTAAAGCGTTCGAGTCAGACGCAACATATCATGCATTGCTTAAAATTCTATAAACTAAGGAGATTGATAACTCAAAGTTTACTTTATCGGATGCGTGCAGCTGAACGTCTGCGCCGCTATAATTCTTGCTATGTTACAGCACAAACGCATTTGACATTTAACGTGCGTGGTGTCTCACGATGAGGACAGATACTGATTGAGGCACATAATGACCCTTTGGGCGACCACCAAGGAAGAGAAACGACATTTTGCATATAAGCGCTGGGTACCATTGGCCTAATACGTTTAGGCAAGTGGGTAGGCACACGTATGAAATGTATCAACGGGCTTAACCTTAGCCGTAGGTTTTGTCCAGACTGCCGGCTTCGGCGAAGTGTTGACGGTCTATAGCTCTAGTTTTAACGCTGAAAAACGTGCCAATAGTTGAAGCGAAGATGAGTAACAGCGTTTTGATTGTGTGATTCTTACATTGCAATAAACTATCTGCCATAGTAGTGTCTGGTGATGAATATTCGCAGATTTGAACGCTCAATGTATTACCCTAATTCTTTTTAAGATATCTTGACTATTTTTGTCATTTACAAATTTCATGATGGCCCATCACCGCGCGTCAGGAATTGAACTCACGCACAGAAATCTTAAAATCGTCTGAAGAGAGCGCAAAGTAAATAGATATGCACAATCAAGACGAAATTCGGACAAACGATCTCAGTTCATTTAAAACGAGTCTCACGTAGACACATCCGAATGGATGGCGTCGATTCAGGTTCTGACGAACAAGGTTCCAATTCAAAGCGATTGGTTGTTTATGGTTAGTCGTTTCCTGCTTACGCACAGCACAAGAAAAAGGCGCTGGATGAAGGAGGAAAATCCGCGATTATTTTATAGACAACAAAATCCAGGAATGTAGGGTCTATATTTTAGTACTAAGGCAGTGTTGTCATTTAAGAGTCAAGAAAATCAAAACGTTCAGCGAAAAACAAAATATGCGTTAAACAAAACTTTATATAGTGCTAAATGCACCGATAGAGAGTCAAGTGGGATAAAAATACAAAGAAAACTAGCAAAAAGCTATGAAGGCACAACAAAGTAAAGAAATCAATCAAATGCATATTAAGAAACCAAGCCTTTGAAGCTAAACCTTGAAATAGTAAAAATCCAGATGTGGTGAATCTGATTCGAGACTCGGATTCAAAGAGTGATTTCAGCCATTGCGGGGCATACAACAAGACATGTGAACGAAGGCTGTGTGTGAAAAGTTGTAAGCAATAAAGAACAAAGTGGGGGAATTTGTCGTACTACCCGTACTTCTCGAGGATTCACTATTAATGGCGTGACAAGTGAGTGCGCAATACTTGGACCGACGCAAGTTTAAATTGCGCAAAGCAAGACGCGGTTGGTGATTTGTGAATTCAAGAAGCTTTTAAGAGCGACTAAACGCTGACTTTGTTGCGGTCGGGGAATTCAGAACGGCTAAGTTCGTTATATACTGTGCAGTACACAAGTCAACAAAGAAGATGCACAATCCAAGCCTGAGCGACTGTAAGAAGGCTAAAAGATCACAAGATAGCCGAAAGAGACCAAGGATTTAAAACTTACCCTAAGAAATTAATCGGGCTGCAAGCCGGCTATACGGATACAATGTCGGAGTGATTATGATCTCGCGGCGGATCGCTGATCAGAAATCTCTGACAGGGTATGCTCTCACCATTTATAGAAGGTGGTGTTGTGGTTATACTAGAAGCAGAGAGGTGTGGCTTACGCACAGTGGGGCGGATTTCGTGGCATGGAATCAAGCGGATGTGAAGCTTTTAAGCTTAATGGAACTTTCCAGCGAGCCCATTTTGAAGAATAGGATATTTCTGATTATGAATAGACGACCAAACGGCTGCCAAGTAAATTAAGTCGGAACAAAGAATGGCAAGTGTTAAGCTTGTTACGTGTGATTCAAGATTTCTTGCAAATATATCAAAAAAACTATACCAAGTCATGTTCGGTCAACTGACATGCTGGCCTACTTGCTTATTCAAGCATAACCCAAACCAAGGATTGTGGAGTTTTGTAGCTTTTCATCGTAGTGAAGATTTGTGGTACGGGCGTGGAGGGGCGTCTGAAAGATCGCAAAAACAGCATTTAAGCTTTTCATTTTTGAAAGCTTTAAAAACACCAAAATCGCATCAGTTGTTATACCCGGACATGGTTGAAACAAACGGAACAGCATCATCAAACTGTTACGGGAACTGCCTGTCCGTGTACACACACTCTCTGAGGAAAGCTTAGGTCATCTGATACGCCTCTCCGCGTGTTGCTCGCTCCCAGCGGGCCATTGACTTACATAGTGGAAGGACAGGAGAAGTAGCATCTGTTATCATAGCCAATAGAATTTTTACCTCCCTGACCT